GTGTAATTTTTTTAATTTTTTTTTCCAAGAGGCATAACTGGGATACAAATTCAACAGCGGTAAATTATTGAGGTCTAGTTGATTGTTAAGTAAAATGTGGCATTGTGTCTGATCTTTCTGAATCTGATAAAATTTTCCGAGAAAAGTAATCACAAAGTGAACTTCTTTGATATAGGTAACGAAAAAAAAATGAATTTTTCCCAAGTCTGGATCTGTATTTTTTTTTTCATAATATGCATTTGAATATTTTTAATAGAAAAACGTCGCGATAGGGTGTAACTTGAAAAAATGAAGTTGGGTTTGACACAATGGCTTCAAAGTCATTTGGGTTTGACAAATGTGTAATTCTTTTAATTTTCTTTCTAGAAGCATAACTGAGATACAAATTCAACAGCGGTGAATTATTAAGGTTAAGTTGATCGTTAAGTAAAATGATTCCAAATGATTGAGTTTCATTTCTTTATTTTTCCAGATATTCGTCGTGCGAATTGAAGAGCAGTTCTTATGGCATTGTGTCTGATTTTTCTGAATCTGATAACATTTTTCGAGTAAAGTAATCACAAAGTATCTGAATTTTTTTTTATAATATGCAATTTTGAATAGTTTTAATAGAGAAACATCGCTGCCAAATTTCAGCTAATTACAATGAATCATTTCTGAAATGTCGGCCTTCAAAGATATATGGCAATTTCTTTTGGATGAAAAAAGGATGTTTCATACATATACATCTACTCGTCTTGATTTCACCATTTAGCTATGCGAGTCTCCTCATGAATCACCCTGTATAAGTGTCGATCATGAACACTGAGCATTAAAGATGTTTCGTATAGATTTGGCATAGAAGGAACGCATTCTGCATAGAAAATATCTCAGAGAAATTGACTTTTTTTGTTGATGCGGCCCATAGTGATCAATTTTTATTACAACTGCTCTGTGCTGAAACGGCACCGTATGCAAAAACCAAGCCTGTGTTGTGTATTCTGTGCCTGTACAATAGTAATTTTCCTAACAAGTGCGGAAAGTGATTCTTTCCCGCATGAGGAACAATATTTTTTCTACAAGGGTAGGAAATCGATTGAATCGTTCAATTAATTATTCAAGCAAATAGGAACAACTAACAAGAGATATATATTCTCTATCTATTAATTTATTAGTAATAGCTATTGTGAACTTACAGTTTGACGCATTATGTTGGTTCATTGCGGAAGCCAGCAGGCCCATTAGGAGTTTGGTCTCTAGGTTCCAGACACTTCTATGAACCAAAAATACCTATTCTTCATTCGGTTTTTTCATTTCTTTATTGTTGCACCATTCAATAAAACGCTTGTATAGCTTCTCATACATTTCTTAAGACTTCGTTGGTGATATTAACGCATCTGTATCAAATCCCTATAGCTAGAAGTTTTCGATCACATTGTGGCATTTCCACTGAATCGAAAATGACAGTAACGCTGTGTCTGTCACTTCGACAATTTCAAACTTATTTGAGGTTTGATTGGCATGACAAATTGACGTTTCCCGTCAGATCAATCCAAATCTATAGGGGGATTTTTATAATAATCAATTTTTATTTCTCAATATTTCTTAATTTTTACAATAAATAGTGCAATTTGATGGATGATTCTGAACATACATACTTAATGCTGCAACAAACAAACTTAAACTTTTATATTCCATCACCAACCACTTATATTACTAGCGATTTTATCATATTATCTTTGTTTTCCCGCACTGTTGCGGGAAAATGACACTTCCCAAACTAAATTGCGTGCGGGTATAGGGTGAATCACGCATGCTTGTAGAAATAGTAGATTGTTTTATTAGGATCAAAAGTGACACTTTGTTTGACAAGCGAATTTTGCATTTGCGAGGCGGAGCGTTTAGCGAAGCCGAGCGAAAGCAAAATTTGCGAGTCGACCAAAGTCACTTTTGATCCGAATGAAACATGCTATTTTTTCTGCAACCGAAACAATTAACTCAAATAAACATGTGAAGTAACCACCAATGCCGTGTCATATGTATGCAATGCAACAAATATTGACAAATAATCCATGTGGTGAGAATATTCTACCTGCATTAACAGCAGGTTAGGTTTTCTAGGATGTTCGAATTGTATTTTCAATATAAATACAACTACAGAGTGACATATTTGGAATGGACCAGGTGCTCTTATGGCAAATACCGCGCCAGTGCCAGCTATAGGAACAAGACGTGGAAAATGTTAGGTTAGTGAGCATATCAACAATGATAATAGTGATTATTTATTCCTCTCCATACTGCACTGTGTTTTACTTAATAATCAAATGAAGCTGAACAATATCGTTGTTTGAGACAAAAAAACTATTGCTTGCCGTGATTATTCAAAAACAAGTTATCCATCCCGAGAATAACGAATGAAATACAGATCACGCAAGTATTTGAATCTTGAAGGCTTCCCTGATCAAAACAAAAATACTTAACTGAGATGTTTATAATTTTAATACTGAACTATAATATGGTGTATTCTCAGATAAATTATGAACATACAAAAATGGATATATATTTATATAAAGCAATACATGGTGTATTTATATCTCCAGCATGGGTATGAAATGCCAAATATGCTGAAATCGGAAACAAATCAGATATGCGTCTCAACCCAAATAGCCAATCGTCACAATGTAGTTTATTCTTGATGACGTCCAGTAGATCCTTTTAGTTCCTAGGAGCTAAAGTTCAACTTTAGCTCCTAGGAACTAAAATTCAACTTTAGCTCCTAGGAACTAAATATGTTGCCTAGCAACATACCTATTTTTGTGTCAGTAATAGAAACGTCAATTTAAGAGCTAATTTTGATATCAAAATGGACGACTTTTGTGTCGGTTGCAGAAAAAAATATTTATTTGCTGATGGGTGCCAGGACGTTTTGGAGTTTGGCTAGTTGAAAACGCTATAAGAAAAACGTAGTGGCTCTCGGACTATTGATGATTTCTGAATTACAGTAATTGAAAAATGATGCTTGTTGTAGTGTGAATCTTTTGAACAAAAATCCCAACATCTACGTTCCTGATCACCTGGTGCTTTTGGCCCTGAACTCGACCAGGTGTAAATTCTGATACCTATCGGACAATCTATTTCTATTGAATTACCTCTTTATGTAAGAGTCTTTATTGTCTGTATGTTTATACAGTTTATGCAAACCATGCAAACTGAATAATTTATGAGATAAGTGAGTGTAAGGTGAGGTACACAAGAAATACAAATTGGATTTGTTTGCAGGAAGAGAAACAAAACCCATTAAAACGATTTAATGAGTTCTTCGAAATCGAAATGATTTGAAATACCTCCAATGTGGAATCAACCAAAATAATGACAATGCTATAAAATAACAGATCATTAACAACAATTATGGAAACACCGCTATATAGGTACCACATCGAAAAATGAAAGTCAATTTTCTTCTAATCATGTTAATTGCAGGGTTACTCTTGGAAGGCCTTTGGACAGTATTTTGTGATAACCGAATGACAGATAGATCAATTTTAGAACAATTTTACAATCATGCATCATGCAGTACATAATATGTATTCGCAGTATCGTACATAAAATATACTCGAATGAGGAAGCAAATAACAGAATTTCCTTATGTACCAAGTATACATACTGCGGCTGAAATTATCATAGTTCTCGATTCAAATGACATGGAAATATTGAAATGGATTCCCTAATCTCTGAATTATTTCGTTAACGTGAAGAAATGAGCCAGTACTTATCCCGTGCTCAGGTATTCCTTGCTAAATTATCAAGTTATCACTATAGCTCAACCAATAATTCACATAACTTTAGCCTTATATTGAAATACTTTTCGATTCGTTCCTTTTTAACCAAATACTTTTCATTTTCCTAGAATCTTTGGGATTTCCTCTCTTCGTGTCTACAAGTGGAAGTGTTATTTCAATATATTTGCTGTAAGAACAAATAAAATAGATTGTCCAAAACTATATCACTTAAAAATTGTTGCCTTCAATATTCTGAAAGAAAAATCTCTCATGAATAATCGTGTGAAATTCAAGACGGCGGTTCCAAAATGGTGGATTTTGTAATTATATAGGATCCAATTTTGTTCAAATTTGGTATCTGGTGGTTCTCGGGGTCGGAGATTATGATTCTCTCGTCGAAATTAGGAAATTCAAGATGGCGGACGAGTATTGTAATTATGATCCGATTCTCTTCAAAATGGTTATCTGGGTGTTTTCGGGGTCGGAGGTTATGATTCCTTCGTCAACATTAGGGAATTCAAGATGGTAGATCCAATATTGCGGACGAGTTCTGTAATTATGTTTCGATTCTATTCAAAATGTTCATCGAGGGTTTTAGGAGTAGTATATTATGATTCTTTCGTCAAAATTGGGAAATTCAAGGGAACTGAAAAGAAGTTGAAATAAATGGTAGTTTGAAAAACTAAAGAAACACGCTTTTAAAGATAGCGAAACTAAAAAGAAGTAGGTAGGAAATAAAATAATAATAGTGTTTTGATGAATATTGAACTGAAAAAATATATTATAGAAATAATGTATATAGCAAAACAACGTTTGCGAGGTCTGCGAGTCTGACTTAAAAAAGGATTGATGCAGTCAAAAATAACAGTGTTTAAATTTGGTAATAATGCGAATGTAATATTCGACCATTGTAATGTGACCTCTACTTAAAAATACCGTATTGACCTATCCATCACATGAAAATGCGGGAGATATTTCAGTTTCTGAAGTGAGAGAATTTATCTGGGTTTTGCGTAAAATAATTAAATGAAATTATTAAAACTGAACCAGTTGATCGAAAATTACAAAACTTATGCCCAAAATGGTCACATTTTTATTGTAACTTTTTTTCATTCTCACTCAAACCGGTCTCCTGAATAGGCACGACCATGCTATTAAAACACCAGCCTACTCGATGCAGAAAATACCAACAAATAGTGGGAGAAGAACTTATAAACAATCTCTCCAATGCTCGACCACACTGATTGTGTGCATATTATTTATGCAAGAAAGGTCAGGTACATATCGAGTACCGAGTACCTTACCTATATAAAAAATGCGTTTCCTCGTCCTAGTTGCTTTGGTGTGCTTTGGAGGAGTTGCGGCAGAACTCAAAGAAATTTTCGCTTGGAAAGAGGTTTCGTTCAACTGGCCAAGCGAGGATGTGAAAAACAACGCTTTGAAAGCCATGGAGTATATCCCGGAGCATAATCTGCCCCTTGGCTTGGAAAGGTGGAAGAACAAATTGTTCGTTACGGTGCCCAGGTAAATATACAGGGTGTAACCTATTTTGATGTCCACAATAAAATCATTCTTCGAACGGTGGGAGAAAGAGAATTGATTTAATAAATCGCTATCTTGAATATGTAAAGAAATCCAAAAGTTACGTTCAGTTTCTGAAATATCCTGAGGAAATCTAATGTATGATATATTGGTAGGTATTCAGCATACAAGATGTGGAAAGTTTCCATCGTCCAAGTTTGAACCCCTTGATTGGGTGAAAGTATTGAAAAAGAATATTCTCAGATATAAATATGAACATAAAAAAATGGATAAGTACACTCAGTTCCAAAAAAAGTGACTTACTTGTTATTTGACCCATCTTCTTAAAAAAAATAAAAATAGTAGGCCGATTTTTTTTTTATTTGTTGGTAGGTAATGCATTTGTCTTTAGAAAAAAATAAAGAGGTGAACATTTTTTCAAAGCCTCCTTGATGGTGGTGGAATAACTCGAACTATGATTTATTCTTGATTTTTGACTCACCCTGTGTGTTAATTGAGTAATGGCATAGAAAGTGCTTACACCCTATACTTCTTTTGCTTCTTTTGCGAGCATTTTGATTTTTTATTCATTGATCCGAACTACAGCTTTTTTGCTGATGCCTTACGCTTATCTGGGTCCGTTTTATGGTGTGGGGAGGGATTTCAATGAATGGAAAGACACCCCTTCATGGTTTTGAAGATATGACGAATAAATTGATTTTATCATTAGTCAACAAGTTGTTTTCCACTTTTGCCATATTTCTGGGTTAAAAACTACACAAGTATATTATTAAGTATACAAGTACACCGTTATATAGGGTGATTCAGGTTTTAATAAGGTACAAACTTTAATTGGTGAAAGATCCCCGTATTTTACGTAATCGTTGGGTTAGGATCTCAGACGAATCCTCAAAATTGCTGGAGCGAGAGATATACCAAAAATGTACTCTATGACGAAGTGGGGTCATCTTCAGTGATATACACTGCTCGCCAACAGCCGTGGAACTATACACATGCCCGGAAAATAATATCAAGAGAAATGAGAAAAAAGGTTGAAAATCACTTCGGATTCGAAAACAGGACGTCCAATTCACTAACTTCCCATATCGGTAACTATTTTCTTCATGCTATTAACGAACCGTTCATAATTCATTCATTTCAGTGATACCCCTCGTGACACCAGTCATGATTTCTGATCCATTGGATCACTAATGATAATCTATTCGATTGTACTAGTTCTGATTGTTATTTCATTTTCCGATTTAAGATGATCCTACTTGGTCATTGGTCTCTTTCTTGATCCTAAAAATGTCAGATTCCTATATCAATGATTACTTAACTACTGGGGTACTTCCATGAAAAGTTGAGGCAGAATTTATCATTTCAGAACTGAAAATTTTTCAGAAGAAATATGAGTAGTTAGTGAATTAGACGTTCTGTTTCCTGTTCTAGAATATGAAGTGATTTCCAACTTGTCTTGTCTACTAATATGATTTTCCATGGCTGCTAGCGAGCATTAAATTTTCAGAACTGTTTTTTTTTCGGAAAAATATGAATAGTTATATACAGTGTGTCCACGTTAAGGACTTTTACCACCCCTGTAAAATCGTTATTATCCGACCAATTTCAAAAAACTTTTTTTTGTTGGATAGGTATTTGAAATGCCCATCCAACGAGATAGTGATCTACTTCTTGGACTGTTATCGTGGCCAACTGCGACAAATTTCAATGACCCATATTCCAGAAAGTACTATTAGGGATTTTTTTCCACGAAACATATGATGGATTCTGAATCAGTACCACTTGAAATATACCTGTACCGAGTTTCATCATCATAAAACACAGGGTGCCCGAAAAAACGAATCATCATTTTCTTCAAATATAGGTGATCAGCAAATGTAGTTCTGTGGTTTTTCGTCATTTGAGTATACAATGTGTCTGAGAAAAAAATTAAAAAGGATAGGTAAGCAATATTTTTCATCCTGATAAATCTTCACTCAAAATAAAAAGATGAATCAGGATCACTTGGAACATACCTGAACCGATTTTCATCATCATTAATCACAGTGTGTTCGAAAAATCAAATTAATATATTTTTAGAGCTGATGAAAAAATATTGCCACTTTTTCTTTTTAATTGTTTTCTCATACACATCGTATTTTTGAATGATGAAAATCGGTACAGATATGTTCAAAGTGATCCTCAATAATAATGTGTCATCAATTCTTCTCAAAAGTACCACAATACTACATTTTCTGATCACCTATTAAAAAAAACATAATTCGTTTTTTCGGGCACCCTGTGTTTTATGATGATAAAAATCAGTAAAGGTGTTTTTCAAGTGATCGTGATTCAGAATCCATCATTGTTTTTTGTGAAAAAAAATCCCTAATAGTACTTTCTCAAATATGGGTCAAGAAAGTTGGTCGCAGTTGGCCACGATAACAGTCCAATAAGTAGATCACTCTCTCGTTGGATGGGCATTTCAAATACCTATCCAACAAAAAAAAGTTTTTTGAAATCGGTCAGATAATAACAATTTTACAGGGGTGGTAAGTCCTTAAGGTGGACACACTTGCCTCCTAATATAATTTTCCGGAAATTGGGGTAGGTCTAAGTCTGTTGACGAGCAGAGTATATCACTGAAGATGACCCCACTTGGTCATGAAGTACATTTTTGGTATATCTCTACTGCCCCAGCAAAATTTCAGGATCCTTACCCAACGAATATGTAAGATACAATACAGTGGTGTTTCCATTAGAAGTGAGACACACTGAATTTATTATGTAGTGAACAATATAATAGCAAAAAGCAAAGTGTTAAATTGTGAAATTATGGAATGTTAAAATTGTTTATTCATTCAAGGTTTCAAACGAGAGCGTATAAGTAACAATTACCTACTTAGAAAATTACATTATGTATAATCATATATTTTAAATCACATTCTTTTTTTATAACAGGAATCAGTTTTAGACATTTTTCTAAGCCGAGCTGTGTTCGTTTTGATTTCGAAATGGGGTCCATTGGATCCATGGGGTCCATGACACTTTGCCAAATGTATGGTCATGATACCTAAACTAATTTCAAGCATACATATATGTTAAATTGTGGTTTGATGGATCGTTAACTTTGGATATCATTGATATTTGTGATATTTGATACTACAAGCCACGATAGTGAATTGATAATTCATTTGAACAAGTTACTGATTAGAGGCTTTGTAAAAATATACTACCATGTTTTTCGAGAAACAATTTCATAGAATAGAATAAAATGAAATTTGATTCGTGCAGTACAAGTGTTTGCATACGTCGAGAAGGCATAGATATTCATTATTATATTATATGAAATATTCATTGTACTATTCTATAAATGTTCCTTTTTTTTTTTGATGTATTAGTATTATTATTTTTATTTGTAAATTAGGATTTCCTATTTAAATAAATAAAGATTATTAAATACAGTCAACTCTTGGCAACGAATATACAGACGAAAAATCAGAGATATATCAGTACAAAAAAAATATGTTATTAGGCAGTTAACGAATTAGTTTAAAGGTTCGAAATAAGCAAAATATTCTTCAAACGTGTGAAAGGCATTTTTTAAGAGAATGTTCTTGATTTTTACTCTAAAAGTGCTTAAACTCATGTCTGGAGACTGAAAGTCATTAGGTAACACATTGAAAAATTTCAAAGATAGATATAGATAGCATTTTTTAAGAGAATGTTCTTGATTTTTACTCTAAAAGTGCTTAAACTCATGTCTGGAGACTGAAAGTCATTAGGTAACACATTGAAAAATTTCAAAGATAGATATAGATAGCATTTTTTAAGAGAATGTTCTTGATTTTTACTCTAAAAGTGCTTAAACTCATGTCTGGAGACTGAAAGTCATTAGGTAACACATTGAAAAATTTCAAAGATAGATATAGATAGAAGAAATCGTAGGTGGAAATTGATGAGACGTGCACGTTATTTTCACCATGAGTACATATTGATGAAGAACCTAATTTAGCTAGTTGTAAGGTTTTTTTGACACGTCTAGCGGAAGTTATAAACCTACACTAACAGCTAAGTTTAGAGTTACCGATAAGAAACGTATATATACATATACTGCCGACACGCGTGTTCAACTTCGTAAGTTTACAAGTAAGTAAGTGATATATTGATGTGTTATTTTCAATGAATGATATATAACATGTGTATCAAATATATCCATTTCATACTCGAAACCTTCACTGAATATTTATAATTTCCACGTTACCGACATCAGGTCAATAATTATCCTATTTAGGATGTGATCAATGGTTTGAATTTCGCCATGGATAAAATCGAAAAGACATATATAACTATAGTTTCAGATTATTTGTCATGTCATTCTAAGATTTTCACTATTTTTTATGGAGTTGGGATATGGATTGGGAAATTTTTTGATTTTCACCCATACACACGAGAGATTTACAATGCTTTTCTTGAAATAATGTGATGTCAAGACTAAGCCAACAAATCACCTTCCAGATGGAAATCAGGCGTAGCCTCATCCCTCAACTACATCCCCATCAACTCCACGGACAAATCCCCCGCTCTCACCCCGTACCCCGACTGGAAGGCCAACACCCTCCCCAAGGAGGGCGAGACCCTGCAGGACAACCACGTGATATCGACGTTCAGGGTCAAGGTCGACCCCTGCGACAGGCTGTGGGTGATGGACACCGGCTTGGCAGACATCAAGGGGGACGCCAAGCTGCACTCCTCCCCAGCCATCGTGGTTTTCGACCTGAAGACCGACCAGCTGGTGAGGAGGTACGTGCTGAAGGAGAGCGACAGCAAGGGGGATTCGTCTTTCTTCGCTAATATCGTGAGTACCTATATTTAATTCATATATCGAGGGTCAAACCGCAGTACCTCGTAACTGACACTTTTATGAAAATCACGTTTTCTATCTAAAGTGCTTCAGAATATCTACCCCCATCTTTCGCGTGAGTAAGGCTGCAGTTTTTCGCTGCTTATGATCTATAAGGCACAGATCCGACCTGTCCTGGAAAACTGTTCCCATATTTGGAGTTCAGCGCCCAAACATACCCTGAAACTGTTGGATTCTGTCCAAAAAAGGGCAATTCGTCTCGTGCGTGATACCTCGCTCACAAGTCACTCACTTCTCTGGAACACTGTAGAAAAGTTGGCGATCTGGCTCTATTTCATAGATATTTTCATGGACGATGCTCTTCTGAAATATCAACAATTGTACCTCCCTTAGCAGTCCCCGCGAGATTAACCCGTCGAGTTGAGGCTTCGCACCCATTCGTGGTCACTTTGGAGACCTGCAGAACATCACCAAGGGAGGTGTTCCCCGAGGCATACAACCTCCAGAAATTCAAGAAGAACACCAATTCCTACCCAGCGAGCACAAAAACATCTCAGAGATGTTATAAGTACGAGATTTCGAGACATTGAACCTCCACTGCGATGTTCTGTTCACACATGAATAGAACTATTATAGAACAGCCAATGTCCGCCGCCGGCGGCAATTATCGAGATGTCCTTGATATGTCACAAAACTACCTTCTCCCTAGTTCTTTTTAAAGCCTTTTCATGGACACAACAGAACATTTTCAACGCGTCCTGCGCACATCAAATCGCTGTAAAAAGACCATATTCGAGGTACTTTTCTGAAGCCTTTTGTCAAAATGAACTTTCGCATTAGGATTCCATTTCCCTTGAATGAAAAAATGCATTAAAAATAGATTGAACATAAAAATATTTTCTTGATATGAAATTACCTTCTTAATCGGTTTCTGAGTAGTGCTTACTACACATAGACATTTAATTGGACATAGGTTTCCCAATTTTTGAAATGTTCTCCACAATGCATAATTTTGCAACTGCGGAGAAGCTGTGTATTGATGAATTCGTACTTTAATATATTGATTACACTGAGGCACCGAACAACACATCTTGCATCTGATGGTCATTATTACAAACTAAATAAGTCTTCTAACACAATAAACTTCACCAAATTCCTTTCTGTTCGTTAGCAGCGTGATGTAAGCGTGACACGCTGCAAACGCGAATGCCAATTGCGAACAAGAAGAACAAAATCGAAAACAATTCAGAATTCATCGTATTGTGACGTAAGCATGAGACGTTGTGGTGGGGCAAACAAAGAAAGGGCACAAAAGAACAAAAACAATACTTTCAATATCCTTCTAAGATCTCTTTGGAAAGTGCATATTACGCCTCAAAAAAACATCCTCATGCCTACATTTCTAAAACATCCCGAAACATCCCAGGGATACCTCTCAGTAGGCAAACAAAGAAATGCCACAGAAGAACAAAAACAATACTTCAATATCCTTCAAAGACCTCTTTGGTCAATGCATATTACGTCTCAAAATAACATCTTCATGCCAACATTTTCAAAACATCCCAGGGATGTTTGTGCTGGCTGGGTACCTTATTTCCCTTGGTTCTCACGATGTTCTCTGAACATTACAGGATATCCCTTTTCTTGGGAACCAGAACATGAAAAAAACTTGAAGATGCTGAAGCAGTACCTCGTAACTGGCTATGCGTCAATGGCGCCGTAACGTGTGGAAGCTTTCCTAATGCTTCATTCTTGTCTTCATCAATTTGAGGAATTATATGATTTCTCATTCCCATTTTTTACATACGATGTCCTGCATGTTGAAATAACTATTATACCAGCGGTAGTTACGCGTTTCTGCTCAAAGTAAATAATAATTATCTTCGAAATGGCATCATCTGAACGAGCGAAAAAAAAAATTTTAGTCGCACAACAATGCAACCTAGATGACTTATTCTCGGACGTGAATTTTTCATCTCATGTTTTCATATCCAACTCTTTTTACGAGAAAATAGTACCTCGTAAAAACAATCGGAAATAGACAGTACCTCTCCAATAACGCAATTTTTTTGTGAATTTTGATTATGCTTTTGGTGTCGACATATTTGTGGAGAGTATATTTCCAAGAAATATTATTCAAAACGTAAAATAATTATACTTTGTCCCAATTAATGTGACAGTTTTCTGTCGTTCCTGCGAAATTTGCATTTCGTCACTTAAAGGTACCAGGTACTGCAGTTTGATCCACGATATATACTATTTCCATATATGGCGCATCGCCTATATGATATCTCAACAAAAATGGAACTAAAATCAGAGGTACTTTTTGAATCTATATGGACGGAAAGTGAAGGATAGAAACTGCTGACGTGAGGATCAGATTTTAAGTTAGGTTAGGTTCCTTTTATGATACCCTGGATGAAACCACAGTATAATACTGTCAACTTCGATTTATTCCTTTATAATGTGGTTAAAATATAGCAAAGCATAATGTCAGTAACTTTGAGGAACAGGAGAGAGCCATTGCAGATGATAATGAAATGAACTGCGATAATGATCGAAATTCTCACCCTCTAATCCAACATTATTGCTTCAGATCTTGTTATTGAATATTTAATATAGGTCAGGGTTAACCTAGGTGAATGTATTCCTTTTCACAAATCTGTTTAGCATGATAGGACAACACTACACTACTTGCAATCTACTGATTCAAACCTGGTTTACTTCAAGGAAATTCCCATTATATTATGCTTGTTGCTGAATGATTGATGACTCCATTGATAATGTATGAGAAAAATGATTAGACTGAAGCTCCATCGTCATGTTGAACCAACTATTACCTACAAAGCTTTGGATTTTATCAAATGTAGGTTATCATATTTTTTCATTAATAGGTAAAATAGCCTTTATTAGTACCGTACTATACCAATGCATCAGATAAGATATTATTATCGAAAGCTTTCTCCTGAATCCTAACTTCAGTTCTATGATTTTCAGTTTCAGATCTACCTACTTATTTGCAAGCCCAAGATTTTGAAAATTCAAACTTACTTATGAAAAGGTCTATTCTTTACTCCGCAAATCGATACCCTAATGCTGATAAGTCGTAACCCACAAAAAATTGAAAAATAGTTTTTTTTCACCAAAGGAAAGTACACATGCATTTCTATATACTGTTAAATTCTCGTAACCCAAATAAAATGATAAATCGGTGATTCCCGCGATTTCCAACATGTCTGAACCCACGTACGGCATTTATATCACGTCTAACTAGTCGTATCCCACAGTGCAGTTCAAACAAGCAAAGCGTGTTGATAGCAGCTGACTAGTTTGACATGGTGCTCTGCATTATTTATTTTTTTTACCTCGGCGTCAAAGAAGCATCTTGTATTCGTATTTTAATATAAAATACCAAAAACCTTTCTTTTTTTATACAATAATATGCCTGTTGGAACCAAGTTGTGGTTTACGATGTATTCGAACAAACTGTGTGTACTTATTTATTTTGTGGGTTACGTCCGTTTTCTAGTTCTCATAATATTATTCGTTTTTCGTGCCTCCTGTAAAATTTCATTGAGTTGGGTTACGACATGTCAGCATTAGGGTATCGAAATACTGCATTTCAGTTTATGAAAAATAAACGAAAACACAAACACTAAAGAATTTTACAACTAAAAATGCAAATATTCGAATTTCAATCACAATCACATCCGCGTTAAAACCAATTTAAAAAATTTGAAATTCGTAGCCATATTGGTTTAACAAGTTTCGTATTATTTTTTCCCTACGTCGGCATCACCGCCTATTGGTCGATTTCGTTATCAATAGAGACAGAAGTTGGTCCCGCTTTGAGGATAGCTGTCCTTCATATTATGAGTGCCTAGTAGATATATGATTTAATATGGAATTATTTTTGCATCAGTTCAGTGAGTACTGAGGAAACCCTTACAAATGGAACACAATGTATTTCACATTCACATCCTTACCTTCTGAAAGCTTTCAACATTTTGTGTAATGTAAAACAAAGAATAGGTTTCGGAGAGGGGATGCGACGGACTTTTTGGTCCTCATACACTGTAGCGTTGATTGATATATTACGCTTACGCTGGGACTGTAGTTTCAAAGGGAAGATATATGTTAGGTTTTTGTTCACTTACTTACTCATACGTCACCTTTACAATATGCAAAATGTTCCTGATTCTAGGTAGTAGATGTGACCAAAGATACTTGTGACAAAGCTTTTGCCTACCTTCCTGACCTTGGTGGATATGGACTGGTGGTTTACTCTTTTGCCGACAACAAGTCTTGGAGAATATCCAACAATTATTTCCATTTTGATCCTCTCAAGGGAGATTTGACTGTGGGTGGAGTGAACTTCCAGTGGACTGATGGGATATTTGGACTCGCACTTGGACCAATCAACCAAAACGGGTAAGAGAAAACGACTAGAGTCTAGCCATAGCATCAAAGCGAGGTAATATTGCGCCTCGCTCGCTGGGCGCAAGAAACTGAAAATTTAAGGCCGATCCTGAGAAGAAACATAATTGAAAGAGCGAATCACTATCGGCCTAACCAATAAATGCCTCCATAGAATTTTTTCGATTGATTACCTACCTACTTCGAAAAACAAAAACAAAAAAAGATTAGCTGGAACAGGGATCGAACCCCGTTCTTTTCGTTCGGAGGAAGGAACACTACTCTAATGACCACCACGCTTCTGGCATGGCTAGGGTCTAATGAGAAAACGTTGACTTTTTATTAGCATTCATCTCCTCCCCTCCCAACAAATTGAAGTTGTGGGTTGTGGCCAGTATCTGTTTCAGAACCAAAAATTGCGGTTGGATTTACAACCCCTAAAATATACTAACCGGCAAATTTTATAGAGACTAAGTTGAGAATCAACATTTTTTCTTGACCCTTGGCTCGATTTCGTTGTTTATTTTTTGTTTGTTCACGATGTTACTGATTATCGTTTTCGAACGATTCGTATCAAATACATGGATCGAAAGGAAAGTTCAGTATTTTTGAGACATATCGTCTGTGAATCATTGACAATTGAAAACAATTTTGTAATATAGGTTTTTGACGAAAGGGTGGTTAATTTAATTCATACACGTCGATACTCGAATTGGACAATGGAAGAGAAATAGTTATTTTTTCTGTGAGAGGAAAAAAGTTTGGCATTTCATCTCTGTTGACAGGTTATAAAATGTCACTTTTTATAAATTACTTTTTCCCGTGGGAAAAAAGTGAGTACTCTTTTCACGGATATATATCACATATATATACACTGTGGACAGACTTGTGTAGTATTCGAATACCCAGTATTCTGAATCCTATTCAGAATACATTTGGCTGGTATTCGAATACTATTCGAATACATTTGTGAATTTGGTATTCGGTATTCGACTGAATACTTTTTTGGTCAGTACTCGGTATTCTGGATTCTGAATACCGTTTTTGAATCCCAGTATTCAAATACCCACTTTGTATTCGAATCCCGGTATTCGAATCCTGTATTCGAATCCCGATATCCAAATCCTGTATTCGAATCTCGGGAATCGAATCCTCGTCGCTATATATTATTGGTCGATCATATGTTACCACGGCTCCGACTTAACGCAACTTGAGCGTGTTCAAACATATATTTTATTAGTTCCCATGTTTTATTCGAAATAAAATGGATTTTATTTTTAGTTTTATTTATCATTTGAGATTACTTTCCATTATTATCTTCCTAAACAATTATTTTGTGTTACCTTACTGTTATCCAATGTACCAAAGTACTTTATTTTTAGTTTCATTCATTAATTGAATATCGTTTTATTTTGATAATTTTTCAAATAAAACTAAGAAATAAAAATTAATAAACATTTCTTATTCAACCTCATTGTGGCACTTTGTATCAAAAAATTATTCATCAAGTTTCATTTAATATAGATTTTCTATTTTTTTTTACATATTTTTATAAATTAACTACATACATAAATATAAATGAGCTTTATGTTCGCAATTAAATGGTTTTTTTTTCAGTTGGAATATTCATAAAATATTCATATGTGAATGAATCCAGGTATTCGAATACATCGGTATTCGAATACTTTTTTTTCTTTGTATTCGAATCTTGAGTATTCGAATACTATTTAGAGTACAGTATTCAGGATTCGTATTCGAATACCGGATTTCAGTATTCGACCCAAGTCTGACTGTGGATGGCTTTTGTTGTGCTATAGTTCCGAAAAATAAGTCAATAATATACCGTCTCCGAGAAAAAATTGCATGACCTTTTATCTTCCATTCGACTTCGCGGTTACCTAAATTACTAAACAACCACTAAATTCGCAATTTTTTGAAATCAAAGCACAGAATTAGACTGACAGAAGTGACATCATATATTTTTGATTACTTCAAAAGAATGATAAAGATGCATATACTACGTCGATAACTTTCAGATTTCAAAATAATGTAATATCTTCTCAATATTGATTCGTTCTTTCTTCTGTCACAGAAAAAAATACCTAGTATGTATTATACACGGGAAAAATATAAGGTTTTGGCTCACGGTTTTTTGTAAATTAATTCCGGGTCGCCTCTGTGGTATATGCAGCACAAACTTATGCATTTGCAATAATTACATTACTTGTTTTTCGTTATATTTCTCTGATGATATTTTGGAAACAATACAGCAATATTTTATTCCTTTAATATCATCGTATCAATGTTTTTTTAGGTATCGTACGGCATATTTCCATGCGTTAGCCAGTACTGAAGAGTTCTCAGTCAGCACTGAAGTTTTGAGGAACGAAACTTTGGCAATGGATCACAATTCATTCGAATTATACAAGGTATGCAGAATACATTTGTGCTCAAATACTCCTTGACTAGCCACCCTTTATTTAACGCATAACGTTCCCATTTTCAGCATGAAGGAAATAAAGGTGAGAAGTCACAAACCTCAACTTCGGTATTTGACCAGAAAACCAACGTATTGTTCTTCACCCAACTCCAAAGAGATGCTGTAGCTTGTTGGAACACGAAAAAGAAATTGGAACCTGGCAACGTTGCTCTCGTAGCAGAAGATCACACCAATTTGGTTTTCACCAATGATATCTCGGTAAGAATATATATCAAAATCTTCTTATTGTCGCCTGGAATGAAAACCTTGTAGAGGAGGTATAATATTGTTTTTCTACTCACACAACTAAAATGGCATTTAGCGTACGGATATGTACCACGCTAAATGATCGATTAATCACGGACTGTCGGTCTGTGATTTATTCAAAATATTAAACACGTTACTATGGCAACACGATTTCTTAAACACATTACCATGGCAACGCAGTTCATTAAACACAGCTTCAGTAATTTGAGATATGTCTGGCCTGGCAATTGTATTAACTGTCAACTGTTATTTTCGAATTTTGTATCAGAATTATTCGAACAATATTCGTTTGTATCAGAATTCTTCATTAAAAATATATGCGAAAATTAGACGAAAGTGAAATCGAAGAGAATGTTCTGGTACTCGCATATCTCCAAGAAGTGTAAACATGAAGCATCCATCTTTGAGAACAATTTATTATTTATTCTGCGCTAAGCATGACGATAAACGTGAAACAAAGGTTAGTAAGCAATGGACTGGACACATCTACAACCAATATCACTTATACGTGTCTCGCTGGTTGCATGCAGTTGCATGTATTATGTTCTCAATTCCCATTCCTTTCGAATTATTTTGTAGGTTAGCAGGAATTGCAGGTATGTTAATGTAATTTTTGGGGTTCGTAGAAAAATCATAGTATGTAACGCGTTTATAAACTCTTCTAGACACTCGTTTATTAAACACTCGCTCCGCTCTGCTCCGCTCGTGCTTAAACTACTCGTTACTAAAAGGACGTTTATAACACTTGTTACATAATATACTATTGTTCACTGATTAAATGGACCGACCACACGCGGCGTATGTTTTTTTTTTGCTGAAGCTGCACCAGTTGACTTTGGAAAGACTATACCTACATACAAAATTATTTCATGTAAGAAGCAGAATATCCATGACCAATAATCAAATTGAGCCTAACAAATTATGCTTCTACATAATAATATATATACAGTATGATGCAAATGTATGGAATAAATTCATTATTTCAGAAATGGGCGACATTTTAAAAAATTCCAAAAACACGTTAGGTTTCATTTTTGAAGACTCATCTCATGATATCCATATGAGAGATGTTACGTCACCGGTGTTGGAGTAATGACGTAATGAACGATTTTTTCGAATGAAAACAGGGGTCATGTGACACCTCGTTTGAAAGGTCTACTGATCGTCTAATCAACAGTCAAAATTCTGCATAAGAAAATTGAAATTAAAATGGATTATCATTTGATTAACTGAATCTTGCAGAGGTCTACTACTGAGAATTGAACAACGAAGGGTCGTCTATTTAAAAAAATAAATCAATTAATAAAGTTCTGAAGTCTAGTTTTTGGATTTTTTCCGGAAATCGTCTTGTTTTGAAATGAACTTATTCCATACATTTGCATCATACTGTATATCCTCATTCCGATGTGAAGTTAATCATTTATCAATCATTGTTCAGACATATTTTTCTTTGATGTTACATTCATATAATGTTTCCTTATTATGATTCCTCCCACTGGATAACGCATCAGTCAAACATCGATTTATTTACTCATTACCCTTGAGTTTTCGTTTCTCAGTTGCCATTCTTCCTATATAGGTGTGCATTTTAGGGAGATGGCGAAGTTTTCAAAAATATAAATGTGAATAAGCAGTTCCTACTTTTCTATTCCTGCATGCCATCTTTTCCATAAAGTACAAACAGTAATGTTTCAACACAGCACTTATGAGTTTGTAGTTCCTGCTCAATTCAAACAACAACAATAAAACGACCTATATACTTAGTCATTTCATGGCCTATGGTTTTTTATGCATAATGTTAGATTTATCGAAAGATCAATCTCGACAACCGACATATTGGAATTACTATAATTAGACAGGTAATGCCATAAGATCAAAGCTCATTCATTAAAGAAAATGAACTTGGTTCCATGGAGCGTGCGCATTCGGGACCTGTCATATATCTTATTCACTCATACTTATGTTTCCGACCACCAAGTGGCATGACCAGAAGATTTTCTGGTTGCTGGGATATGACATAATATAATAGCGGTCTAGATAGTAGTTCCAGATGTCAGTGATCTTGATAGGAATACGGAAATTTTTTTCCTTCTCAGTTTCTAATGAGGATGGCAACTTAGTTGCTGAAAAACGTATATAGGCTTTTTTAAATATTATTGCGTTTTTTTGACAATATTTTTTTCATTTGATCAATTTCATGTTGAAGTAAAGAACCGATAACATCGACATCTTTTCAGATTGACGTTGAGAGAAATCTCTGGATACTCTCAGACAGAATGCCTGCCTTTTTGTACACCAAATTGGACCCCAATGACGTGAATTACAGAATTTTACAAATTCCAGTAGATGAAGCTATAAAGGAAACAACATGTGCTGTGTGATTTAGTATTAGTATAGATTTAAGTTTGACGTGTAGTGTTTAGAAACAAACCTATATTATAAGTTTCATATTTTTAACAAAATGTTCAAGTCAGTATGATGAAATATAAAGTATTATTTTTTGATTGATTTGTTTTATCCATTTGAGCTTCAAACCCTTGTTCTAGAAATAACGATTCCTAGCCATAAAAAAACCTCCATGCCATGAAAATTTAATTTTTTGATGCTCTCCTATTGTGAAAAGTTTCTAAATCGGTTTCAAAATAGGGATGTAATAAATGTGTTTTCTTGGAGAACTTTTGATGAAAGACAACTAAAATTACCAACAATTAAATTTGCAAAAATGATAAAAACTGTGGAAGAAAGTGTTCTCGGTTTTGGAATTTGCGGGGCTGAGTCAAATAACAGAATTTTCAGTTTATAAAAATGTATATTATATATTTCTCTTCTCATTTTCATAATTTCTACAAAAATCAGTGCATTATAATGAAATGTATAAGAATTCATAAATAAAACAAATAAAACAATAATAGCTATCTCATCATTACTAAATATAAAAAATTCTCAGGTATAAAAAATTTTGATAATTTTTACTCACCAGTAGTGAGAATAAAATAATTTTTTATCAATCACAATAGTTCATCAAATAAAGCTGAATTATAACAATTCAATTCAACAATGCTATGAAGAGCAAGAAAACATCGCTATGGCGGGATCCTCGGTTTCATAAGTAATCAAGACGTCTCTAAATTTGTCCAAAAGTTGCAATAATTGACTTCTTCTCAAATTTTCCAGGTACATTATTTCTTCAATGTGGTGATTTCCTTGAAAATATTCTTTTCTACATAATTTTGCAAAGAGTTTTAAATCCTCAGGTGTATTTGTTGCAGGAATCTAAGAAAAACAAAACAACATTGTCACACTCGCTTTCCTAGCTTCCAAAACTGTTTTTTTCTTAAATGATAATAACTTCTATAAAATGATCAACACATCAACACATTTTATGAAAACAGAAAAACTAACGTCAAGTTTTGAGGAACATAAATCGCCAATCAATTCAATGGAATATAAAATAAGGTTCCCAAATTATAGCTCATAATAAATAATGATGTAAAAAAAGTTCAGTAGAAGTCTTTTTAGTTTCAAAAATATTATATGAAAAAAATAATAGCCACTCTGGCATTTTTAGGCACTCCTATGAACAGGTCTATATAGTTTCTTCTTGATTATAAGTTGTATTTGAGTTATGATTAAAAATATGGCTCGATAGTAGTTGCAAAGATAAATTGGTTTATAGGCATTTTGAATGTGAAATCTGAAATTATTATTTTGTATTTCTATTAATCATCCCCGAAAATATAATTTTGTAGGAATCTTTTTTGCATTCTATTGGCCACAATTCACCATAATTTCCGAGAATCACTCATCACTCTGTACAATGCGGAAAAGTTACAAACCGGCTAAAACAATAGATTTACCTTAAATATTGAACTTCTTTCCTCATCTGTAAAATCAAGTAACAGTTCCTCTTGAAAGTCTTGTTTGTCATCTTCAGTGGATGTGAAACTAACATTCTCAATACTAAAAATAAACACTGTCTGTAAATTGATCAAGGGGGTGGACGGTTGAATATCAATTTCTTAGAACTTCTGGGATTTTCTCTCCTCGTTTCTATGTATAAATAAAAACGTTAGTATTCTTTCAATATATTTGTAGTGAGGACAAATCAAATCAGATGATTTGCTCCAAAATGACTATGCTAGAAATTTCACTATTAGAAAACCTAGAAGAGAAATTCAATCCATAGTCAGTGACACCTTGTTTGAAACAAGTTTGAAGAAGAATATTGAAATTTGGGGACGGCCGATAGAAGTGAAAACTAATTAACTTGTGAAATTGTATCGTCGAGCCATCAGATTTATCATTTTCAATTTTCTTTTGGTTTATAAAGAAGATATTCGAGGAATACGAAAATACAAAATTTCAGTTTTTCCTGAATATTTCAGAAATGATTGCAGCTAGGCAAGATTTCTCGACGGATTCTGAATTACTATTGAATTTGCTGGAAATTTTTAACCGACACTCTATATATCTTTCACAGTTACAGAGATCCCAATGGTGAGGATCAAATTTGGGACACATGATATATCCATTTTCTTCATGTTCATAATATATCTGAGAATATTCCTTTTCAATAAACGTTTAGTTATTCAAAAAGCAAAAATAAGAATACTTTTAACAGTCTGTATAAAAACATGTGCTTGAGTATAGAACTAGAAAGAAATAGATGCTAGTAGCCAGTTACATTCATGACCTTAAAAATCAAGGACACGAACATTTCTAGAAAAATATCCACTCTATGAAGTGACATCATCAAAAACAATTAATGACTCATGAACTGTGTGGATAGGTATAAATATTTACAAAATCGATTTTTTTCACACTGCCTCAGATATTTGTGTGAAACAGTGCTCACAAAGTTCAATCTTAATTTAAAATGATATAGGTAATTCTTATAAGTGCATTATAATAAAGAATAATTTTGTAAAATCATCAGCAGAGGAATTTCCACTGTCATGCATATCAAAGCAAAGCATCAAAAATATATACACCGTGAATTAAAGTGTTAGTTTAACCATAATCACAAATATCCTGGTTCTTAAATTTAGTTTTATATGATAACAAATAACAACATAAAACTGTTTGTCAAAGTCCATAATGCAAAATGACAGAGGCAATCGTGTGCGACAATTTCCTCTGTCATTATGCATGATGGAATAATTATTTGGTTGGGCGAGTGGACTGATAATTAATTATTGGCATTTAATTATTCAACTATGTCCTTACGGACCTAAATCAATTTTTGCAACACTCGTTTTTCAAAATAGTTGAATTTCAGAGCTCATTTCAAACCATATACAGGGTGTAAATTTGAAAACTTTCAATGCCAATATCTCGCGAAATAAAAAAGTTTGAGAAACGCCGCTTGGCAAAAATGCTGAAGAGTTAAGGGGAACTAGAATCACCATATTTCAGTGAAGGGATGAGTCCAAGGATTATAAACTCTAGAAGGATTGCCAGATTCCGCAAAATCTTCTGCCGTGGTCACGTGATAGGGTATCAGAACTACGTCATCACAATGGCCGTCAAATTGGAAAATTATTTTTATTTATTGTATTCATAAAATATCTCGAATAATGAAATTGACGGACATGAACAAGAATAATCAACTCTGGGCGTAATTGGAAGGTTTTCCTTGAATAGTCTTCAATAAGGCTCACAGGTTAGTGATTCAAATAATTATTATGTAATGTTAATATTTGTTGCACAAATTACGAAAATGCATTTATTCATTGAAGTTTTTGGTTGTTTTAGATACTTTCAATAATAATGGGAAACCGAAGAATATTACATGGAAAAAATATGATCCATTTCATCAACTGATGATATCAGTAGACTTGAGATCATTGAGAATTGTAAGCAGGTATGTTAAACAAATATTTGTCTTCATAGTATAATTTCATCTTTGCTCTTATGTTTTAGTGAACTAGAAATAGATCTTTGAAAGAGGAAGATGTATTGAAAGCTGATGGTCATATTGTAGATGAAGCAATAGCAAACACATTTTAGGTAGGTACATAAAACTTGTGATTGCAAACATTAGCTCTTGGACAGCCTACACATTCGAAAGCGTAAAGGTACCTACTTGGCAAGCAGGGATGTCTCAGGGTTCTTCAAACATATCTTCCCTGTAAACAGGTTAGTGTTATTTTTGTTGTATTACTGGTTCATCACAGCTCAGAAATGATGTTTTGAAATAAATTTGTCAAGCATCAAATCAGAGGCATTGAATTATGCAATCAAGAAAACTACAACTTTCCCTACCTGTAAGTTGAATATGATTGTAGTACATAAGTATTTCAACATATAAAATTGTAGATTCCTCTAGCTAAAGTTTGAAACATATGTCACATTTTAACAATTATTATCAAAATCTGGAGAAAACTTTGAGGATTCCCACTTTCCTTTAAAAGTTATTCAATTTGTCTCACAATATTTCTCCAGATGGAGTTATTCTTGAAGATGAAATGATTGTGAAAAAAATCAAAATTGAGCTCAATTATTTAAAATTAATTAAATTTTCAGGTTGAATAAATGGTTCAGAAAAATTTGTGGAACTGTGTAATTACTCAATACATGGATAGTGCTACAAAAGGAAAAACATACATATTTTGTGGAGGAGGACCTTTGTAAAATTGGAAGGCACCCAATTTTTCAGTGTATTATTTTTCTGAAAGTTGTATAGCTAGTAGTATAATAGCAAAATTCAAAGAAATATATTATATTGGATCAGGATGATTTCTAAAGAATGTTTCAAGAATATGTTACATTATCATTTCACTAATTGTCATGAGTATTGTGATTGAATTTGAAAATTATAAAATTGATTTTCTGATAAGACTTTAATTTCCTTATTGGTCTATAGGGGAATAAAAACAAAACTTGAAATCAATTCATTTTATTCAGTGGGAACAGTTGTAATAGTGGTGCATTTGCTTATATTGGGAATAATTGAAAAGGTAACAACATCTGTAAGTATTTCAAAGTATCTGTTTTTGTATATTTTCTGATCCAAATAATATTCCCAATATATGCCATGAGGAAAACCCACAAAAACTCATGACCCCCCTAAGTTATGAGAAATCAATTTTCACATGGTTCAGTAACAAATCAAATAGAAACAATTGCCAATTCAGTTGGAGGTAGTTGATTTTGTAGGACACATTTCAAAGAATTTGATTATATCAATATAATTATTCCACAGATTCTTCCAATATAATTATTCCAAAGATTCTTTCAATATACAATCCAATTTGAGAACCTATAAGCTGTATGGCTAATCTGAAACAAAGTAATAAGGTTTTGACTTTTCAAAAACAAAGTATTAATATTTTTGATAAAATAGAGCCAACTTTCCTTTTAACAATTTTCTTGAGTAGGTATGAACATTGTAGGATACATTTCAAGCAATTTAATCATAAAAATAATTATCTGCCAGATTTTGTTCAATAACCAATAAGCTGCATTGCTAATCTGAAACTAAGTAATGTTTTGACTTGTGAAAAATTAAAATACTCATTTTTCATATAGAGTAACTTTCCTTTCTACAAACTTTCAACTGCTGACTTATGTCAAGAGTTTCATTAAAGATGTATCTTTCTATTTGTATCTCCTGGCATTGAATCACTGTTTCCATATTCTTGTACTTAGGTACCTAGGTAGTATAAAGTTGATGAAATTATCTTCACATTTGTTGATGATTGGACTTAAATGGACTTGTATTTGTTCTTGACCAGTATCATCTCAGACTACTTCCAATAATTTTTCTGAATGGTCTCCTGTTTCTGTTATGTCAACCTTGGAATGTGACTATTTTATGAAAATTGCTAAGTATAACTTTTTGTGATGGTATAACTGTCTTCTTGAGTATTTATAAGAATATATTTCTAATTTTACAATGAAACTGTAATGGTTTACTACTTGATAGTCCTGAAATAGAATAAAGGTTATTTTATTTAAAAGACAATTTTTTGATTGAAGACAAGGGTATTTTGAAGGTGACTTCATTTCTTACCTAATTTCAAATCTTGAAGTGGAAGCTTGTTTATGGAAACATTGTCTTATCTTAGTGAACAAATAAGTCTAGATTTCGTTTCTACAATCTTGTGTTTTCCATGCATATTTTGAAGACAGCAGTAGTTAGGTCTTATGCAACAAAATGAGTCCAAGAATTATTTGAAATAATCCAAATTCACTTGGGATTTATTGATATCATCTATTCTAGTTCCCAAAACAACACTGGAGGTAAGTCACTTTTGGATAGTAGAGGATATCTATTTCAGAATTTTGTTCAATTTTCTTATCTTTCTTCTAGATGAATCAAAATTTACAATTTTTCTCTTAGCAGAATTGGAAGATATGGCTTTTAAATTTCTGAATTTTATCCTTATGATGGTTCGTAATTTGCAAAAATCTTTGATTAACTTATAAGGCATATTTCTTTCTTTTTTAAATATTTTCAATGCTAACTTGCCAACAACTCTTGGGTTTTTCCTGAAAGATTCTCCATGGTGAGTAACAAAATATTTATTCCATCTTTTTATTCTTCTTAGCCACTGATCTGTAGGTTTGATGAGTCCCCCATAAGACAGTTGTTGCACCCAAGAAGGTATATTATAGGAATGATCACTTCTCATTTTATGAGTGAAGTCACCTAAATTTGGAATATGCCTATATTTCTTTGCCAGGTAGCCTGCTATGTATTCTAAAGCATCATCTGTAGTTTCCACAGATGAACTATTGAAATCAGAGTCATTATTTATTGTATCATCACTACTTGATGATGAAAAGGAGCTACTCTTTGACTCTAATGTTTTTGGTTCTTCAGTGTTCATATCAACTTTTGCTGTTTCTAAAACCTTAGGACTCAAATACTCATCTATAACTCCAGCTTCTGTATTAACTTTAGATTCCAAAATCCCTGGGTTTTTTCCTAGAATTATCATTCGAATTCTGTGTAT